TTTTTTTTTATGAAATCTAACGATGTGGACCAAAATTTACTGATAGTTGATTTAATTGGAACATCATGTACTAAATGCGCAAATATATATAGTTGGGTATAAGAAAATTCTCAAATTATTTTATTATCTTAACACATTTTATTACAGTTTGTTTGAATTTATCATGTAATTTAGATCGTATTTTGACACTTGAATACATTATTTCTTACTTGTCTGGTTTTATAATTTATAATGTATCTTATTTATTAACTATTATTTTCTATACATATACTTACAATTTCTTTATTTGTGAACCATTCTTTTATTTAAATAAGTACCATATTATTATCTAGTATCTTCATATTTTTAGGAAGACTTTAAATATAGATTATAATTTAACATACATCATAAATAATTCACCGTGATTCAACATATCATGTACATGTAAAAAGAAATTTACTTTTATATTAATGAGAAATCAAAACAGACAAAACATTTTAAAACGCCTATTTATAAATGGTAATAACAAATTTAGGTCCACTTTTACTATTAACCTATTATTAAAAATAAAAAAAATAATTAACGGAGGTTGAAGCACGTTTAATAAATAATAAAAAATTAGAACTAACTTTCCATAAATAGTAATATAATGAGGGACCCACTAAAACACTTACTATTTTTAGTAAGTGGGTTGCCTAATTATATAGTAAATAGATAGATATGTAAGAATTTACTTTTTTTTCACCTACCCGAAGAAACACTGAGCGGTCAAACCCTTTGGTTTTTGATCGATTTTAGCCAGTTTTTACCAATTTAACCGGCCATTGACGGGTTTTGTTGGCAGCCGGTTTATTCTAGAGAACCGAACCGGTAAAGTGACTGGTTTACGGTTAAATCGGTCGGAGAGAACCGAACCGGTAAAGTGTCTGGTTTACGGTTCGACCGATCGGACTGGCCTGTATGGTCTGGTTTTGATAACACTGCTTTTAATTTTCATTTTTTGGTGTGGTATAGTAAACCCAATTGCATGTTTTTTTTATAGTGAATAGCTAAATATGTACCTATATTAACCAAGTGAATAGTTTTGGCATGTTCCTTTACTTAAAAAAAAAATTGTTATATTCCAACGTAAAATTATATGGTAATAAATTTCAATGAAAATTCATACAGATATTCAATAGTATAGCTTCCGTTGGAATGATTCCAACAAAAATATTCTGTTGGAATGTGTTTTTCATTGGAATTTTAGATGGAATTTGATGATTCCAACGGCTATAGTTCCAACAGTTTTTTACCGTAGAAATTTCTGTTGAAATTTTTATTTTCACGCGTGTTGGAAATCTACCGTTGAAATCGTCAAAATCCAACAGAAATTTCAATGGAAAACTCATTCCAACGAAATATTTTTGTTGGTATCAATTGAAAAATTCCAACAGAAATAATAGCATCGAAAAATATCTATTGGAATTGTCGTTGTAATTCTATTTAAGTATATTTTCGTTGAAGTTTTATCATTTTCTTATAGTGCATAATGCAGACCTAGAAAGTCCCAAAGCCACTGATCTAGATCAACAATATTCTTTAGTTCACGATCATCTCATGATGCCAATAGAATTAATGGGACAAGGGCTGATTTTATCGGGTTCACTTTACCACATTAATAATATGCAGTGGAAATTAAATGTAATAAAATAAAAAATATCTAATACACAATAACCCGCTGGAAATCTAATAATTTTAAGTGAATTGCTTTTTACTGTTTTTTATTATTATTTACCGTCCCTTCTTGGATAAAAATACCCCTCTCATAATTTTTCACTTTTTTTAAAACTCTCTCTCTCTCTCCATCGCCGCCTCGTCATTCCCAAAAAAATATACAAAAAAGTGTAAAATTTTCGCCACGGCCGAGACAAAGGTTTCATGATTAGTCTGGTACCTTTTTTTATTGGTAAATAATCTTTAGCAAAAATATGGAAGTTGCAACCGACCGACAAAGCCGACCGCAAGGCTGCGGACGATCGCAATTCGCAGGCGCGGCCGATTTTCAACATGCAGCCACACCGTAGACGGTTGGCAACGCTGGCCGGCCACACCCTATCCAAACGAGTTGAGTCGAGTCGAACATTGATCTTATCGAGGATTGAATTTTTTTTAGCTGCTCGAGCTTGTCGAGCTCGACTCGATAAAAAAAATACAATAGCTCGAACTCGGCTCGAACTCGACTCGAAATCAAAATTCTCGAGCTCGACTCAAAAAGTTTGTGGAAAAGTAAAATTACCATTAAGCACCTATGTTATATTATTATAATATATGTAGGGGGTATATTAGTAATTTAACATATATCTCGAGTCGCTCAACAATGCAAATTATGGCTCACCAGAGTTCGTGTCAAACTCGAGCTCGAGTCGAGCTTTGACTCGAGCGCTCGCGAGCCGCTTGGTTCGTTTTCAGCCGTAGCCATCGTTGGCCTGCCGCACGCTCTACGCGTGTCGGTCGGCCCCTTTTGATTTTTGATTTTTTTTAATAATTGAAATATTTATATATGTTTAAATATTTAAAAAAAAGAATTAATTAATTTTTGAATTTGGTTAATTTAGATTTGGTTTAGTACTTATTAAATATATGTTACTTATAAATAAAATATCGTATACATTAGTTGAATATGAATTATATTAAAACTATGATTATATAATAGTAATTATTAATAGGACAATGCATCTAACTTTAGTATTTTAGGAAACGAATGTAATATATGTAATAAAATTGTTTGTTGAATAATTATTAGTTTAACCGAAAGTTTGCGTCTCTCCTCAAGCCCTAATCCCAAATTTCCGCCGCCGCGTCTCTCCTCAAATTTTCGTCGATTGGCCTTCTCCGGTGATGGCGGGCCACTGGCCAAGGGTCGTCCTCGACTGCTCATCTCCTCCCGGGCGAAGCGCGCCTATGATGTCGCGGTGGTTGGGCATCGATTGGCGGTTTGGTTCGGGGTCTCCGGCGGTGTTCCAGTTGATGGTGGCCTCCTTCAGGGCGGGTGTTTGGCTGGCGACGGGAGTCTCCCTTTGGTCGCCGGTGGAGCTTCGTGTTGTGAAGGTAAGCCCTCCGTCTGCGCTGTGCTGGTATACCTTGGATTCAGTCTTTTGGCGGGGCTCCTGCTGGAACACGCCGACGAGGCGGTCCTACCCACGGATCGATATCGGATACCAAACATGTACATACATGATTTCTAATAAACTTAAGCATGCTCCTAAAGGACGAACAGAGATATACCTTTCTTCAAGGCTTCAATTCGATCTGAGCAATCTTCTAGTCTGTGTCCCGACCACGTTTGGACGCCGGATGGA